ACACTTTACTACTTACGCCATCTGGTGTGTGAGCTTTTTGGGTGGAACGTGCCGGGCATATGCCGGGCACGTGCCGGGCATATAAGGGCATATATATTAAATGCCGGGCATTTTTTCAACCGTAGTGTTGAATGTATGGAATAAGTATTACAAAAAGTTGGATAATTATATTTCTGGAATATTATGTTTACTCATTTTTGTCAGCATTCGTAGTCAATGCAATGCTAATGCTTTTAGCAATACATTGAAGCCAACAAGGAGTAAGCATAATATTCTAGAAAAATAGTTTACGAATTTTTCGTATGCATATAAGAGCAACTCAATAAATCTTTTATAATAGCGTTTGTGAAATATATATTTGCGCCATCCTTAATCACTACTGATTGTGCCCTATATTACAATATTATACATATTATATCATTTACAGTATAATACAGTACTGTATAATATGTACAGAATGTACAGTATATTCAATACAACACTTCCTCTCCATTGCCGCACAATTTCCCCGCATTTTCGCCATTCATTCCATTTGTTGGGGATTTTTATACCACTTTTACCACAACAACACCATTACATTTCCCATACAACACATATCGCAGCTTCACTGCAACGCTCACCAAATGAGATGACATTAATTGCAGTAAATTTCTATATAAATAATGATTGGCAGAGAAGCCAATCGTGCATTTAAAGGGGCAAATGTTAGAACCATTTTGTATCCGATTTATACTCAAATTGAATGCAATGTTGGCCTAAATTTTAGTGTAATATAAATACATTAAAAATAAATACTGAATTAAACTTAACAACAATCTAGTAAATGGTTTAGATTTAAATATATGGTTAAAAATGTGAGTATTTGGTAATAATGTGGGGATTTATTAGCCATGTATTAGGGATTTGTCTGATATATGACAGTGAAAATGTTGGTATGAGTAGAGGTGTTTGTGTAGTAGAGGTGTTGTTTGGTGTATAGCGCTGTATGAGTGGTGTATTGGCTGTAGTGTTGAGCTCTTGTTCAGTGAGTGTTGCAGTGTTTGTATGTTTAGTGTGTTTTGTGGCCAACAATACATTGAAATACATTGCAATTCATTGAATGTTTTGGTGTTTCTTGAGCTCAATGTAAGCTAACCTTCGCTCCCATAATACGACTCAAAGACATACAGAAGTGAGACAACACTTGGACTGCACTGAAAGCACTGCAACCACTGGTCATCCCTATTCACGGCGAACAACACATCCATTGATTGGCTGCCAATCTGTTGTATCTTTGATTGGGATCAGTGTTGAAGTGATGGCGACTTTGGTTGAGGGACAACAATATGCTCTCACATCACATCTCAATCACTCTCTCAACAAGTCTTTGATTTTTGTCAAACTCACCGATTCTGCCCTCAAAGCCATTGAAGACTATCTCAACCATAAGGTAATAGATGGTCACTATTGAGTCACTTTTGGCTGCATTTAGACATTTATTAAACCCTTTTGTATACCAATTATATCCATAATAATTGAATTCATAATTAATAATAACGTATTGTTTGCCACAAAAGAGATAAAAGAAGTGATAAATTGTCTCATATTTGATGTCGTTTTGGTTGAAAAGTGTCAAACATTGACATGAGTTGCGATAATAACAAGTCATTCATTGAGTCGACAGTCATTTGACAGACTATTGACATGAAATCAAATTGAATTCAATTTGAATATCGTTTAGTTTTCGGACATTAATTGTCTTTTTATTACATAACTATTTCTAAGAAATTTTAAATTTCTTAAACGAATTGCAATTATATATTGATTTGAATGAATTCTTATCGCAATTAACATTAATATGAAGTTTTTTGCTTATTATCACAATTACTTATCGCCAAAACTGTTGTGTAAAAGGCATCAAATAATTAGTGATTAACTGTACGTATATTAAAAGTTCAATACTTTGTGCTCTTAATCTTGGTTTTAATCCAATAATTAATTCATTACTTCTTAAGCATTCATTGCTAACAATTACGGCCATATCTCACAGTATTATCTAATAGTAGATAAAAACCATATTTTAAAATAAAACTAATGTCTGACGAGAAAAATAGTTTGAATTTTGAAAAACATTTCTGATTAATGTCTCAAGAATTTAAAAACGATTGAGTCTTTCACTAATTTTAGATCACATTTATATAGGCTTTTAATTTTTGACAAAGAATTACAATCAGACATAATGTTGTGAATAGTGTACCAAATATTGTTAATACACTATACATGCACTCACTTCAACACTATTCGCTTGACTCGACATTTATTTTTATCAAACCCAACGTTTTCTTACATTTTGTTTCATATGAAACATGTATTTAAACAGTATATCTACCTTTGGTTTTGCCTTTTATTGCCGAGCATTTTAAACAATATTTAATTGAATTAATTTTGAATCAAATGTTTGCTATAATAGTAATACAAACATGTAATACAGTATTGTAAACCTTATTTACAATATTGTGCGAAAATAAGTGTAATGTTTAGTGTTTTTGAGTTTAGTAATGAAGTAATGATTCGCTAAATAGTATATCAAATGTTAACAAATGAAGAGAAATTGGTTTTTGAACTTATTTTTGGAAAATTTTAATTTTTTTTATTAACAAATAAAAATGTTTTAAAGAGGAAAAGTGAATAAATATATGATTTTATCGATAAACTAAAGCTGGTATTCACTGCAAACCAGTTTTGTTTAAGTTTTTCTTTTCATTCTCTCTCTGCTAAAAGATATTTGCGATTAATTTTCAAATTCATTTCGTTCATGAAAAACATCTAAAAAATAATTGCTTTAAAAACATACATATATTGAAAAAACAAGTGAAAAACATTTGATTTGTAATAAATTATGACTGAATTTTGATTGATTGGCAAAATTGGCTAATAATTGATGTGACCGATAGTGTGACAAATATTTCTTTCCCATTAATTATTGACTTTAATTGCGTTAATCAATAGAAAGACATAATTTACAGTTTATTACTTTTTAAAATTATTTTTATAATTTGTTTTTCTTATAATATTTAGTTTAAATCAGCAATGAATACATTGAACAACAAATGTATCATTTATTGTATTATATTTACTGTTACTTTGAATGCAAAACAAATACCACTCCTCTAAACACACATAAAAAATTTAATTATGTTTTAATTCACATTGAATTGAAATATTAATTCACTGGAAATATATAATACAATTATTGATACGTTTTTACTGCTAATTAGTGTAACATTTCTTATACTTAAGTGTTGTTTTGCACTCTTTATACCCTTATTATCAATACTTGTTTTTAATCAAAAACTAAATGATATTTATTTCAATTTTTTATTTCTATATAGCTTTCAATACATTTTGTTTAATGATTATTATTAGTGCAAAAATACTAAACAAGTGTTGAAAAAATATTTTTTAATTATTAGATTTTGGTTAGGATTGAAAACAGTGATTGAAAGACTGGTGCCGTTGTTTAGAGGCAAACATTCATTTGCGGACAAATGTTTGCATTTTATGGCACTTTAAGATTATTTAAATGTAAAATGAATGCTATTTATGCTGAATGAATGCTGTACTCAATGCTGGCAATACAGAGCATAAGTTTGCAAAAACATCCAAAACCTGAAATGTGACAAAAACCTAATTATGACGAAATATTTTTAATGCAAAACAAACTTATTTTTATTTTTTCTATTTTTAATTATAATTTGAATTTTGAAAATGTCTTTATTTTAATACAAATAGGGAAGCGTTTCCTCGAACTCGAAGCCATCGATTGAATTTCGTTCAAAGGATTCTCAAGGAGTAAGTTATAGACATCTGTAGACATAATACGTGTAAAACATTAACAAACTCTACATTACTGTACATAACACAGACTTATTGCCCATTTATTAACTCATATTGGGATTAAATTAAACAAGTATTAGTCGATTGACAACATTTTTGTCTCATATTTGCGCCGACCATTGATTGCTTTTTAAAGTTATGAAAGTAACACTGCATTCAGTAATTGAGGCCACATTGAGTCCGATATATCTCTGCAAAGTTTGCATTGAAATAGTCTTTTAGATATTGTGTTTTGTCTTGAAATTGAGAGAACAAAACATACAAATAGTTAGGGATTATCGGAATAAATGAGTTAAATATTGTCTGTTGTTGGGATCAGATGTATTGGATTTAAACTGATTGTGTTATAAGGAGAGTATACACTGTAGGATAGACTGGTGTGGAATAATGTAAAGTAAATGGTATGTATTGTCGACCTATTATCAGGTTTATTGAACTTCCTTGAAATGAAAAGTGGGTCAAAAGGGAGCCCGAGTGAGACCGAGTGCTCATAAGTGATGGCACTTATGCTCAATGCGGACATAAATAGCTATTTATTCTCAATTTTCATTTCAATTCCATTATTGCCTGTATTTTAGTTGCATTTAATTTTAGATCACTTTTTATTTCAATACAAACATTAATACCACAAACCCAGACAAAAGACACACTTGTTTTAGTAATTAATTAACTGATGATTATATAAACGGTAATTAACATAAATATGTAATGTTTAGGTGATTAGTATTCCCAGCAAACGGAGTACTCAGGATGAGGACAGACAGCACTTTAGTTTCACACTGTCTAATGTGGACGCAGTTGAACCTCAGGGCAGCTTTGAATGCATTCGGCAGTCGAAGAACCGATTTATGGAATCGTTTGGTGATATTGACTATAAGTTGCAAATCCATGCCAATGACGACAGCTATCAGAAGACAAAAGTCAAAATGGCTGTCGTCGAGAGGGAGAACAAGAAGAATAGCACCAAAGTTATCAAAGCTAGTGATCCGAACGTTGGCCGGAAGGTCAAAGTGAAACACCATCGCATCCCTTCCCGACCCGTACCTCATTCACAGCCACAATCAACACCCGAATCACAACCCGGTTATAGCAGTTATAATAATTATAACACTCATCACAAATCCAATTCTCCGCCAACGCTCAAACTGAACGGCACTACCATTAATGCCATTCCTAACCACAAGACTGTTGTCAACCATAACTCAATCAATAGTTCAACAATTATTTATACAAATAATAGTAATAATAATTTAAATATAAATAATAATAATAGTAACTCGAGTATAACAGTGGACACAAATGTAAATGAACTCAAAAAATCTCTTCGCGAAAGTGTCATCAATTTGTTAGCTTCGCATCCGTTAAAGAAGTCTGAATTGATTAATAGGCTGTCAAACGAGGGCTTTAAGGATATCGACAAAAAGGAGTTGAATTTAATATTAGATAACATTTCGCTTGTGAGGGATAATGTGTACGAATTGGCGAAAAGTGGTTGGAGTCAAGTGAACGGCGATCGCATTGATAGCACCGCTGATGACAAGGAATTAGTTGGGAAACGCAACGCATTGAACGGATCGCAGACATCTCCCGCACAGCTGGGAATATCTCCACTCTCTGACTGCGGATCAATGCCCGCCTACTCTTCGCCAATGAGTATGGACTGCAGTTCTCCGTACGGCTCGAAAAGCCCATCCATTAAAAGAAGTTCCGACAGTTGTTCCGCTTCATTATCTGTACCTAAAAAACAGAAACCGTTAGTGAATACCAATCAGTCATATAATAATAATACAAAGTCTACCACAACTAAACTCAAAACTAATGGATACAATCATCTGCTCAACGGTTGGGCTAACAAACCCTCGAGTCCTGAGAGACAGTCAAACTCAAGTACTGTTACGAATGCCGACACAAACGCTGCGACAGAACTTAAAGGCATTGAATCTTTGCTAACAAACACCAGTCATTCATCTCCCGATTCCAACATCAGTTGTTTATCACAACAAGAGTTTCATAATCCAACAAATCGTGTCAATTATATCACTAATGATAACGCCTTTGATAAGAGTAATAAACGAGAGACTTTCAATCGCTATAAGAGCAATGGTTACCACACCAATGGCAACGGATCCGGTTCTATCAATTCCTCTCCAAACTCCAGTCCTGACAGCGGAACTGGAAGTCATGACGGAAGCACTTTAAGCACTTCATCCAATCTGTACACTATCTGTGCCAACGATGAAACGCCCGATTTTGTATCGTATGTTTTGATTTGCTTTTAAATGGTTTGCATTTTTGTTAACATTTGAATGTGAATTGATTAGCAAATACACGAAAATCGTAACTCCGGAGCAAAGGGCGCAATACAAGAAGGACTTCTATATTGAATACGAAGAATACCGACGATTGCATCGAAACGTGGAGAGCGTCGCCGCGAAGTTCGCTGAACTAGAAATCCGTCTCAACACGAAAGTGGAAGGATCTGAGGACTGGAATGTAAGCTTTCGGTCCACACTCTCTCATATGTTGTATAAAACCTTTCTTATGACTAATTCAGAAACTAATGGATCAAATCGTCAGAGAATATGAAGAGACGAAGAATTGTCCGAAGTTTCAGAAGTGCCGAAAGCGGATGTTTTATCTTCACTCGAAATTAGCTCACATTAAGACTCTTGTCGTCGAATATGACCGCAATTATCATAAGGAAAAGAATCGATTTCCTCATAAACTTCAAGTCAAGTCAAACCCGATATCTTAGCGTTAAATTAAATTTAAGTCAAATTTGAATTCTGAAGCGTTTTTTAAGAGCGCGAAGTCGTCTTTATTTTGATTTTAATGTGTTTTGCGATTCCATTGAATGTTTACAAAAGATTGACACGACTTCTCGTTCTGACCGTAACTTAAAACAGAATATAACTCATGAGAAGCGATACTCTATTGTTGTTTTAAACTCTTAAATGAATCGCATATCAAATGCAAAATTATTCCTCAAATATTACTTTTCAAACGATAATTGTTTTCTAATGATAATAAACGTAAGAATGCTCTCTAGTCTTATGCCTGTTAATCAAAACAATTGATTCTGACTTTTGAACGTATTATTCGTTTTAGTGGTTAGTATTGACATTTATAAACAGTTTTTATTATAATTTAATTCAGATTTAAAATTTGTTCAATTATTTTTAGTCATGAAATTTCGCAAAATTTTCTACAATTAAGTGTTAAATTCACTTTCATTTGAATGAATTGTTTGATTGAAAAGAGAGCTCAACATTGAGTTAAACTACTTTTTGTATTGCGATAAAAGTCTTACAAAATACTAAATTAACAGAAATATGAAGTATTAGTTTCTAACGGTTTCATTGGTAAACCGCTAGTCAATGAAAGCCATAATAATCTAAAACTCTTTTTCTAACCATTTTTACAAAAACCATTTTTGTGAACAAAATTTTAATCATATTTTGAATGAGAGTTCAGCCAATATTTGGATTGATGTTAAATCTGAATTATTTTCTAAATTATATTATTTTTTGTTTTATTTATTTCTTTATATATTTTTATTTAGTTAAAAAATTAATTAATATATGTTTACATTAATTAATGTTTGACCACATTTTATACTGTTTTGTCAGTTTATTTAACGCAAACAAATGTCAATAATAGTCAGAATAATGTGTACTGTAATTGAGAAGATGTTGTATAAGTAATGCAGAGCAACCAAAACAGTGCTAATTTGATCACAAAATTAGTTTCATTTACCCCTCAATTGACCGATTATTTTCTGAAACAAGGATTGTCTTTAAAGATGACGAACCCCTGCTTTGGCTCCGGACTTATGGTTTTGTTTTGTTTTTAATTTTATTTTTATTCATTCGTCTCATCAAAACCTTTTGACAGCAAATATATTATAATAAAAAAATTATTTTATAAAATTAGTTCTTCTCTTAAGGAATCGATTCAAAGGAATGGATTAATTGAAAGAATAACTAATTTAATAAATGTTGAATTGAGTGCCACTCGAATCCATATAATTTCAATGAGTTCCAAACGGATGAGTACTAAAATTTTTGGTCATTATTTTTGAACTATTTTTTGTATACATGTTTAGTGTCTTTTACTTAATAGTGAACCCAATTGTTTCTATTTTAAGATTTAGTTTATTTAAACAAATAGTATTAAAACTTCAATTCTTATATTACCTAAAACTTTATATGAATTTACAAATTATATATAAATTTATTTTATTAAGTATTTTTATAAACTTGAATATAATTATGAATTACAAAATCTTCCATTTATTTAATTATAAATCTCAGACAACTCTAACAAATTAGAAAATGAGTTAAATTTTGATAAACTATTTAAGTATTTGTTTATAAAGCATATACTAATGCAATATTGGGTGCAATAGTATTGTGATGAACAAGAGTTGTCTTATTTTTATAAAATACTTAATTTGCTCACAAAATAGCTTTCACTCCAATCCATACACAACTCCTGTATTATTGATTCGATTGGCACTTAATTACTGGTCTTTAATATAAAAAATTATATATTTTTCTTAATAATTAATATTTATATTTTTGATAGTCTTTCTTAAGTATGGTATTTATAATCGGAATAATAAGAAAAGTGCAAAAAATGCTCACATTTTAGCATTTGATTTGTTTTACTTGTTATAATAATTTGTTGTCGAATACAAAAAAATGTATAAAAACGCCTGAAAAGTGCCATTATTTTGCTTATATACTAAAGAAAGTGTTTCTCACATCACTTCATAAATACATAATTTACTTGTGGAGAGAGTTTGGGCTGCATATGAATACTACCGACCATTCCTTTAAGTAGATTTCAAGTCTCATTCACACGATATATAAATTGTGATAACATTTATGGTTATTGCTCTCAAATTGATGTCCAATTTATGCCATCTTTTCATTTAAGTATTTTGTTGTGTAAAATAAGATCTTAAACTAATTCGCAGCCAATTTGATGATAGGTTATAAAATTGTATAATTGTTTATTGATTTTTAATTATTGATATATAAAAATGCATTCAATTTATGCAAATAAAAAAAATAATTAATGTTGCATTCAAACACCTTGCTCATATTTTATTTATTTATAACAATTAAAATGTGACATTATATACAATTTGATTGTCAATTAACTGATTACTGATGATGACATTTGTATTGGTAAGTTTAAACCATTGCCTACCCGTCATATTGTGTTTAGAAATACCGTAAGTACTGTCAACTCATTAATCAATCACTTAAAGGTTCCAAAAAAGTATACCTTCTATACAACTGAGATTTTGGCGACAAAGGAACCAAAATAAGGATCATTTTGACCGTCAAAACGGTGAATACCATACATGACACTCAGTTATACGCTAAGCAATTATATAATCATTATTGTTGTTAAATTGTTTATAATTGAAAGTGGTTTTTGTTTAAAATAACTTTTTATACCAAGTTATAAATTGTAAAATTAATCAATTAATAATGGTCAGTATTTCAACGATCAAAATGTGAGATGTTTGAAGGAAGGATTCTACCATCTAGCAAATAATTTATAAAATCTAAAATAATAAGACTCTTTGAAGCGGTAATTCGTCCGTTATATCGAATTTCCTTATATATGGATAAACTTTATATAATTATTAATTAAGCAAATATCTCAATATTCTTTCAATGTTAAAAGACATATAAAATGGATGGATTGTCTCTAGATTAAAATATAAATGGGATATTCTGGTAGTTTAGAGTCTAAACTTTAGACACATTATGCAGTTTTATATCTTAATATAAATTTAATATTTTTTTTGATATCATATATTTGTCTCTAAAAATATGTTTAGTTTAATTTCTTCACTCATTGTTAAATGTATTTATTAATAAATTATTTGTTTGTTTTACTGTAAATAAACAACTATTCTATTTATGAAGTGCTGTAACGCTCATAGAATTAATTAATTAGCGCTTATATTGAAAATTACAAAATACTTCAATAAATGGCTTGTACCACTTTTTTTTATAAAATGTATATAACCTAATTAATGACACATATATTGTGATCACAGACATCCCCATCACGTCGGATATGATATCCATTAATTATATTAAATGTAAGCAATGTTTTCAATACGTAATAATTTGTAAAGGAGTTTGTCCATAAATACCATGGTGAAATTGCTAACAAATCTATTATTATATTATTGTAATTTTTGATTATATGTATTGACTTGAATCAAATACAATAATTACGGTATCGTCATGTATAACGTACAAAATTAATGATAATATAACTTTTTTTAACTTTTAAGTAATAAGTTATTACTTTAATTTTTTAAAACTTTTGTTATAATCAGAATTTAAAAATTATTCAGAATTTTATTAGTTCCTTTCACCAGAATAAAACCTTTCAACTGGTATACCATATGATATACTTATTCATATAATACAAGATTTGATTTTCACATTTATCCCTATAAAAGTGGTCACTGCGACCCAACCCGAGGTTATCTTAGATAAATATAATTAGACTTGGTATATAAATTCCAATTGCCAGCTAGATATTTTGTGAACAACCCTTTTATTAAATACTAGAATCATATGAAAAATATACGTAAAACCGATTACAAAAAAGTTTATTTGTGCGAATGTATTGAGGGATAGAAGCGGTAATATTGAGGGGAACGGAAACTAAGCCCTATAAATATGCAGAGACTTGTGGCCACTCTATTGTCATCTGTCCTTCAATGAGAGCATAAGTTTTTTGTCATTTTTTATAATGAATATAATGTACAGATGTTTCGAATATTAATAAATTGAATACAATTTTACGCAACACTTGTACTCATGTTTTGTCATTAAATTACTAATTAAAGATTTAAAATAGAAAAACTCGTCATTAATTTTATTATTTACTATTATGTAATGTATTGAAGGGCAGTCTAGTATAGCGGCTATACTTAGTGTAGCCATATGTTCAACAAATATATCTAATATAAATATATCCATAATTAATTACAAAACCATTTGTTGTTTATTTTTTTGGCAAATTTAATGTAAATTGTTTTAATGTTAAAACCATTAATTTATAGTTAATAATTAATTAATTAATTGTCATAAATATTTATTTTGTGCAGTTTAATATACTCTAGATTTAAAGTGAGAGCTCATTACCTTTAATAATAGGTTTTTGAGGTAAATTAATGATTTTGTACATTTTAATAAACTTGTTAATAATCGCAAAGTATATCACAAATCTAATTAAAATGTGTATTTAATAATTAAATTTCTTTATTTTAAATGACGTTTGTGGATAGACTGAAAGCCAACCACTATAAAAATGGGTGAGAAACTATTAGGTTGACCTTCACGTAGTGTTTCTTGTTTTAACTGACAAACCTAAATCTTTTTAGCGACCGTTGCGCCACCTTTTCATGGCACACTGTGAATTTGAATCTGTTTAACCTAAAATAACAGTGCCCTTTAATAATGTAATGCCAAAAAATGTTTCACCACAATTCAGCATTGAATAATGTGGTTTATAGTAGTGACCGAAATGTCGACAAAATCTTCGGCCCGACCCAACCCGAACCCGAACAGACTCGACCCGAACCCGACCCGAACCCTAGTTTCAAAT